TATATTATTCTATTATGAGAAATGGGCATTCATCTTCAGCTTGCTTTGACAAAACTCATTATCAGTAATGGCCAAATTTCAAGTTCATTGGCTAATGTTACATCTTGTGATGAAAAACCACTCTTTTATAATGAATTGAGGGATGACAATGATGAACAAAGATAATTATGGACAATAATCAAGAGATTGAAGATAGTTCAAGTAAAAATAGGTACAGGATATAGGTACTTATCGTAGGAAAGGTGTATTCATACTTTTTCTATGACCTATTTACAACCATATTTATACCATTAACTTTTAAAATAATAAAAAGCATGTGGCATAATGAATAAGATATGAAACAAAATACCACTTTTAAACATGAGTCAATAATGGGAAATAATTATTTCTTTTCCTTCAGTTTTCACTAGTGAATCAATATTTTATTTTCTAAGTGAAGTTGTTGCAAATTTTTTCATCAAGTGTAAACTTATTCAAAGCTTGAAACTTTTTTTGATTTTGAGTTTTTAGACCATCATTTATTGAAAAATTATTTCCTAACGTTTTGCCTGTGCGAGTAGCTGGCATCATCAAAATGTCTGTGTTTTTGCTTCTGATGTTGGAGGTACACGCTAGCTCCCAAAGCTAGAGGGTATCTGGAACCTAGGAAGGTGGCCGCGAAAGCCTAAATTTATACATTATTAGCGGCTTATTGAAATCGGTTCAGTCAATCAAATATACTCTAGTTTCAGAAGATAAATGCATCTTATAGACAAAGCCTTATAAGTACTATAATGAATAACATTGCTATATTCGAAACTGTAAAAAATATTAAGATGATAAAATGGGAAAAAAGGTAACTATCATCTGAAACAGTACAATGGTGAAAGAAAATTTACAGGGACTTTCGCACTTCTCGAGTTATACAGGGGAAATCTAAAAATGCTGTTTTTGGTTTTTTATGAATAGAATTGTTATTAAACTGGAGTTTTTTCCCAACACCAAATCGTTAATTTTAACACGTCTTTTCCCAAAACCAAATCGTTATTTTTAAAACCCCCTTTTTTTTCATTACCAAATCGTTATTTTTAACACCTCAACCAAATGTTCCAAACAGTGCATCATAAGAATTGTTATTGTAGAAAATATTAAAAAAATGGAAAAGGAAAGTTTTATTGTATTCAAAATGTATTATAACGATGTAACAATAAATTTTTGATTAAACGTTTCGTGTCAAGACGGCCACCATCAACTCTTTTTTTCAAATGTGGGCCTGTCTCTTTTTATTTCAACTATTGATGGAGCGATGAAATCACCTTTCAGTTGTATGTCACATTTGATATTTTTATAGCGTTTCATTCAAATTAACTAGCTTTATCAGTGACAACAATTCTTAATTACGGTCCTGCCTTTAGTTCTTTTGTAAATTGTTTTGATTTCTTCAAAAAATATTCATCTATTGGCATACCTCAGACATTACCCAATAATTTCGACAAAAAGATAACCCTACACAACACACATTCGTATTTTTCCTTCTTGGAAATTTTTGTATTAGTGATCCATATTTCAAGGCTAATTTCTCCTGAATCAATTTTTATACATATTTTAATAATTCTCAATCCTGGAAATATTACAATTGTTATGTAATTTGGTACAATTGAATAGCATCTCACTTCATTCATAATTTTTGAACGTGTAGGCTTAAATTGAACAGAACTGGCCGATACTTGATGAAAATCCATATTGAAACTCATTAATACAGTTTATTGTATGATTTCCACTATAAAAGGTTTTACAAAAATCGCGACACGTATTTCGCTATACAATAGCTTCCTCAAGCGTAGGCTTTGCTTGGTTTCTTTGGCAGAAAAAAATAAACAAGTTAGAGCAGACGTCTATGGACTCGGTTACATATTAAAGATGTTTTCAAATGGAGGATGGATTGATATGCTATTTTCTTATGCAAAATCAAATAAAAATTCTCCTTCAGCATGAAATATTTATGTACAATTTGTTGTATTCCGAACATTTAAATGTGTAGCTGATTAGAGATACTGTGGTGCATTTGACAGAAATAAAACTGTGATAAAACAAATAAAATTTTTGGGTAAGTAAATAATACCACATAAAGATTAACATAGTGAATAAAAAACTTTTTTTTCAATTTACAATTGGTCAGTTACGAAAATGTTTATAACTAAGATTGTTCTTTACGAGAAATTGCCCATGAACTAGGGATTTCTGGAAAATCTACCAGAAATATTTAAAAAAATAACAAATACAAATGTTACAGAGTTCATCATCTCAAAGAAATGGATTACAGAAGGAGAGTATGATTTGCGTAGTTGTTCAGACATAGAAATAGGGAAGTTGGAAATATTTTTTAAAAAAATAATATGGACGGATGAATCAGAATTCACCAACGATAGTTGGTTCAACACAGACATTCATTATAGGTGGAATAATACGAATGAACAATTCAGGAACGATTCAGAATAAATGTTTGGTTGGGAATTTAGGGAATGGTGAAATGTATCTTAATTTTTTTATCGTATGAGCTTGATGGCTACTTAAATAAATTGCCAGTAACCATCCACCTTGAAATAAAATATTCACAAGACGGTGCCCCTCCCCATAATACAGCAGCACTACGGAAACATTTAGATCACTCATGATGATACTCATTTTAAATGAAACGCTATAAAAATATCATGTGTGATATATAACTGAATTTTATCCCTATATCAATATTTGTAATAAAATAGACAGGTTCGTATATGAAAGTAAAAGTTGATGATGTCAGTGTTGACGCGAAACGTTTAATCAACATCGTTAAATAACATTTCTAATACAATAAAACTTTCCTTTTTAATTTTCTGAAATAACAATTCTATTCTTGAATCAGCATTTTTAGTTTTTCCTGTATAACTCGAGAAGGGCGAAAGTATCTGTAAAATCTCTTTGGCCGTTACTCATAATAGTTACCTTTTTCCCATCTAATCGACTTCATACCGGTTACGGTTTGTAATATAGCAATGTTACCATATAATAAAAGAAATGATATGAATATAAAAACACACATGTAAATTGAGCAAATTCAGTAATATAGAATAAGGATGTGAAATAGAACGAAATTGAGGAATCAGAAGGTAATATCAGCGAGAATTGAGCAAGTTTCATATAAAACAGTACCAGAGTAAATGTGGGTTATTTGTTAGAGTAGATAAAATATTTAGAGAAAATGATCATCTAGGTACTCTTGAATGGTGTAATAGGCCCTGCCAACAAATAGTATTTCAACTGCCTTTCTGAATTTGTTGAGCGCTCTTATTTCTTTAGTTTGAGCTGCCAGTTGATAGAATAATTTTATCCCTTTGAATATAATTATTGAGCAATTGTAGAGTTGCGGGAATAGGCAGGCCAATATCGCTATTGTGAAATGAAGAATCCTTTTATTGAGCATAAAGTTTCCAAAATGAATACGGCAGCTACCGTCAATATCTCGTTAGCTTTGAAAAGAAGTTTGCACATATCCCTGTAACTCTATTGAGCAAACCCTCCAAAAGGAATGCACTAACATTCATCTCTGAAGAGATGAATGTTAGTGCATAGCAACCAGAGGACTTCCTGCTTTAAAGTTTCCACAGATGCACTAACATTCATCTCTGAAGAGATGAATGTTAGTGCATAGCAAACAGAGGACTTCCTGCTCAAGTTTGTTGTGTAATCCTCAAACTTCAAATTATTGTCAATATTTAGCCCTCTACACTTATAATAAACCCTTTCAAATATTTTGTTACCCAGGCAAAGTTAGGTAAGTATGCTGGTTTCATTAATTTTGAAGGATAACCCCTCTCTGAAAAAATACCCTTGAACTTTAATAAACGGTAACTGTACTCATGTTATACTATAAAAGCTGAATTTTGAAAAACTAGTGGTTTTTTAGCATTACACTATGGCAGTAGTACAGGTAGTCAAACTATACTATAAAGATAATAGGATAATCCTTTTATCTTTATACTATCACAGCATAGGTGCTATGCTGTGATACTATGGTCAAACGCACAGCCAAAGATTAGTAATTTTACTAGAATATACAATCTTAGACATGACTGCAGGAAGTGGCTGTTACGTCATTTTATATGCATTCCACTGAAGTTCGGATCACACAAAGGTTTGGAAAGATGTCACTGCATAAAAGACGTGCTTGTGACTTACGTCATCAGTAATATGGGTTGCATACTTGGTAGTCGTTATTATGGAGCTAATCAAACAATAATGAGATGAAGCATAATAACTCGTTTTAATAGTATTTGCCACATTTTTAGGTATTAACGATTTATACCACAACAACAAATTAACAGCTTTACAATGGAAGTATGCAACACGTAATACATTGTGTCGTTCATGAGTGACGTAATGCCATAACGTGGATTCTCATCCTTTTTAAAATACCTAGTTTTATTAATGTGCGAGGAATCCCACACAGGAGAGGATTTTATACTCATGGAAGTATTTTGTATTGATTGAAATATGAGAATTTCGAGAAAAATTAGTCTCTAACATACAGAGATAAAAAAAATGTTTCATATGGGATTTTTGATGATGGTTATTGTAGCTGATGTGGCTAACTTAATTCAAAATTGAAAAGAAGAATTCACCCTATTGGTAGATGCATTAAACCAAGGGAGAAGAAAACAGTTTTTTTTATTTTAAATATTTTGATATGTTTTTTGAACGTTTCTTATTCGTTATGAACGATCGATGGCAGAAAAGGCAGTATCTTCTACATTTTACATAATCGAAAGTTTCATGTATTTCTACTTCTACTCCAAAATCAACAGTTTTCTATTTCTTTTCATATTTCAAAAACTTTTATTTCATACGTTTCATGCATCTGTGGAAATGTTCTTTTTTCTGTTTTATTTGTCAGGAACCAAAATGTCTATGAAGAAAATTATTATGTGATGGTTCTGTGAGTAATTTCAAATGTAAGGCGGGTAAAATGCTAGTGAGTATTTTGAGGATTTCGTTTTGGCAACACCGTTGGAGTCAGTGTTCTCGTTCTCTCTTCAGTGGCTAGTATTTGTTGCCCACAAATATTACGATTATTTATAACGTTATTGCCGTTTGTTGAATTAGTTTTTTGTTCTTACTCTTTTTTAAATATGAATCGAAAAGAAGCGTTATCAACGTTCATTCAACAAATCCATGCAAGACCTGTTGTTGTGAAACTAAATAGTGGAGTTGATTACAGAGGTAACCACATTTGTAGAAATGTATTATATATTATTTTTTATCAATTTTTGATTTGCAGGAGTACTAGCATGTCTAGATGGATACATGAATATAGCCTTAGAGCAAACTGAAGAATATGTCAATGGTCAGCTGAAAAACAAATTTGGTGATGCTTTCATCAGAGGAAATAATGTTTTATACATAAGCACACAGAAAAGGCGATATTGAGTATTTTGATTTGAGTTTTTCCTATTTTAGAATATAAGGGATGTTTAATACATGAGTAATTTATGTGTATTTTCTTCTCTTCATTATTGGTAGGATTTATTCTACTGTAGAGTCAGGCTCCACTGTCAGGCAGGGACAACATAAAAGACTTTGGTGCTCCTACAAAAACTATTGTGTGGTGTTATTGCTCCAAATATATGAAAACACTACAAATTAAAATTTCAAATGCCCATTAGTGTATACACTTGTAATGCACTCTTTGGAACCTTTGGTGTAGTAATGAATATTACTGGAGTTTTTTTCCCAACACCAAACTGTTATTTTAACACCTCGACACAAACACCTGATCAAACAGTATGATCTTCCTCTTGAAAATGATTACTTGGTGATCGAAACACGTGTTGAGGTGTTGAAATAACTATTTTGTTTTGGAAAAAAACTCCAGTAATATTCACTAGTGTATATAGTTGATTGTAACAAAACAAACTACAAAATTTATTGAAATTTCATTTTTAATTGTTATTTATTAAATTTCAGGAGAACAATAAAATGTATTGACATTGCAAACAAGAAAAAAAGATTAAACTTTTATTTTTTGTTTTCTAGATTTGAAGATAGCTCGGATCGCTGTTTTGTTCTTACTTGTATTAGATTGAAATAGTAACCATTGCTGCTAACCTCTCTAAAGGTTGAGAAAAATATTCCATTAGTAAGGGATTTAAATAAAAGAATTTGCTATAAGACAACTGAATGAAAATGATTTAAACAATAAAATGCTATAACATTGGAATTCAAGCAATAGTAGCTGGTTATAAAAGTTGAAAATTCACTGAGTTAGTCTAGATTTTTTGAGATAAATTCAGTGATACTAAAGTAGGTCTTAGCAATGTTTTGATTGCTTTCATGAATGCTATATTACTCATGTTTGTAGTGGTCTGTTAAATGATTGAATAGTATAGCCTCTAGTCATCTCCTTATGATGCTAACTTGGTTAGCTTTGAGAGAGGGTATTTTTGTTATGTGAGGGAAAAATGTTTTTAATCGATACTTATTTTTTGAGCAACGGAGACGCGGTCTTCATCAACAGGTGGTCCCCAAAGGACCACATTATAGCTTACTGTAGACCAGATTGTAATATACATTACCCAGGGATTATAAAGACATACAATCCTCTATTTTGGATATTGGATAGTGATTTTATTTGAATTTTTTGTATATAGCTATGATATGGTTAGACCACTTCCACGTGAACGTCAGAAAATTTCATACAACTTGTGCTTACCATTGCACTTAACATTCCTTGTAGTAACAACTACGAAGATACAATGCTATTAAATTTCCTTACTGGATCTACTTGATGCTGATAAGCTTGTGAAACTTATAAGATAGGTATTTCATTGTTAAACACAATGGTAATTCCTCTAAAAAGTTTTGTGCCATCTCGGCACAAAACTTTTCATTTTCATCATGTTTGTCAATGATTTGGCTTCAGTACTTCATCGCTCAGAATGCTATTTGCATATGACTTGAAGATTTTCAAAGAAATACAAAATGTTAGAGACTGCATCAAGTAACAAAACTATATACATAATGTTCATAGGTGGATCTGTGAAAATAAATTATTTTTCAATATTAAAAAATTTACAACAATGACTATATCTCACATAAAAAACCCTATTTAATTTGAAAATATATTATATGGACAAGCTCTTGAAAGCTGCCAAGAGGTCAAGGATCTAGGTGTAACGTACAATAATGTATGTAAGTTCTTCAAATCGCATGTTAGGATATTTGATAAGACAAACTAAAAACTTTAAAAATATCAATACAATCAAGTGTCTTTATTATACACTGGTTAGAACTAAATTAGAATTTGTTTCAATAATATGGTTAGGAGAAAGTCGGGTAATACTCCAGAGAATTGAAAAAATACAACTACTTGTATTTTAAAAAATATCACACTAGAGCAGATTATAATACAGCACGAAAAACTAATTTGAGAAATGAATTTAAAATTTTGTCTGTGTTAGTTTGAAGTAGCAAAATCATTGTGATTTCTCAACATTAGAATACTTATTTTTATTCATCTCTATACAAGTGATTGACTATTACATTAATAATGTCCACGTAAATGTCCATATAAACAAAATCGATAAAATCTATAATTTTCATTTATACGCTAGTGAATAATCTGATTGACTGTCCCGAACTACTCTCCCACTTCAACTTTCATGTTCTACGAATTAATTCTAGAAATGAACTGACTTTGTATCTATCAAATTCTAGAACAAACATATTACTCAAGTCACCAGTTGTTGCAATGATCAAATTCTATAATCAACTCTGAAAATCTCGACATTTATTATGAACCTATTGGTCGAGTTAAGAAACTTACACTCTAGTCAAATTACATGAGCCTAACTTGAAAGTTACTCTATCATTTTGGAGCAATTTTCAAGAATTTGATGTGGCTTGACAGCGGGGCCTCAATCTGCCTACTCCCCAGGTCTCGTCATGAGTTCTCTCTAAGGTCTCAATGTGTCTACTCCTCAGATTGAACTGGGGTGTCGAAGGGTGTTTGGTGGAATTTATATCGAAGGAAGCTACTGAAGTGGAAAGGTGGGGTCGGGGCTTTGTGTAATTACCATCAGCGGACGTCTTGATGAGGGGTGAGCATCGGGAAATTAGGGGCTTTCAGGCAGTTGGAATGAGAAAGACGGTTTTAGCTTTCTACACTACTTCTTATTTTATTTTGCAGTCTCCTGAGAGAATTTCGTAATGATGAATTATTTTCCTATTCCTATTACACATCGCTCCCCCTCATGCGGGAGTTTATGAAAGTTTTGTAATATTTCATTACCTCTTCATTCACTCGGTTCCCATTCACTTGCAAACAACTAGCCAAGCATATATTCGAACACATACTCAAATCCCCCAAGATTCTATGTATTTTGTGACTTACGAATCTGACCACTTTTGTTCCAAGAATGACTAGCCGCGAGATTCAATTTTTTTTGGTACTTTTGGTAGCCATTTGTTAATTTTGGAAATTATTTCCAAGCTTCTCGATTTTACGGATTTACAGAGTAAGATCATGTTCTTTAAGAATGGGAAATTGTTTTATTAGTGGTATTTGGATGCTGGTAAAACGTTCAACTCACTTGTTGGAATCAATCTCTTATTGAAAATGGAATTTTACTGATTTGAATCTTGTCTTCTTGGGACAAAAGTAAAACTATAGGCCACAAGACATCAAAGGTGAGTTAGTATCCATGAAAGAGACAGCTCATACATTCAGAGAATGAGCTTGATCATTCTGTTTAGAAGTATTGTCCTAGACTTCACTTCCAGTAAACCGATTTAGTTCCAATCTAATATGAATCGTTTTATTTTAGGTCTTTTTTTAAATGGGTACCCCTCTCGTATTAGTACTGCCGTAGAGCTAGAATTCCTTGCGTGAATGCCTAATACAGTAGTAGCAGTAGGTAGTTACCCGCTGTTGAGACGATCACAATTGTTGTACTGACAGAACACTGCATACCTAAGGTTAGAACTCTAAGATCATTCTTGTGTCTTCAAGTCATCTTAAGGGAAATACACATTAAGATAGTGACAAAGAATTTATCAATGATGCTTGATTAATTATCTCAGCAATATTTATGTTCTTCAAACCTACCAAAAAGGAATATATTAGAGTAGATGCTTTTATGCTCATATAGTTACTAAGTTGGGTGTAACAACTCTGGCTTGCTTGCGTTGTAGCCCTAAATCAAACACATTGCTCCGTACAAGCCATATAGTAATATATGATAAAGATATATATTATAGATATAAATCCATTCCCTATGCTGGCGATATAGCTGTATCTAAGGTAAAGTATAACTTAGAAACTCCGTCTTAGGTATTGAAGAGATACCCTTCTTTCTTCCTTAGGGAGACATGCTTCATGTGTATTATATGATATGAACATTTCAACATTGCTAAGAATTAATAGAAAAATATATTTTCTCGCATTTAACATATTGTGGCCTCAGGAGCTCAAGGCCTTCTGCCAGTATTGTTGGGGATTCATATTCGAACGGATGATAAAACTGGCAGTAAAATCAGAGGATTTGGAACCGATTGAGAAGAAAAGGAATAAAAAGTCCATCAACTGGGTCAGAGTTCAATTTGATTATTTACTGTTTAGACTTATTGTTGGCTATCTTACTCACGCCCTTCTTAGCTGTCTCAAAGTTGGCGGCCTACCCTAGGAGCTGCTGTGGAATTCTAAGATAGCTGTCAAATCGTTTGAGATGACAGTAGTAATTATGAGTAGTATTTGGTATCGTTTCGTGTCTCAAATTTTCGTAATTGAATCCGATAGGTGTAAATGTATTGTGTAAATATTTCGATATATGTAAAGCGAAATGACGGGATTCATGTAGAACTTTTTTTTCGACAACATAGAATTCTTAAGGTTATTTCAATATTCATTTTGGAAACCGTGTCAATAATACATGAAAATAGGGAGAACTATGAATCTACAGCCACATACCACACAAAGTGGTCAAATGAATTGAATCTACCAATTCCAAAAACATGTTTGGTTCAAAACTCGTTCATATATAATGGAATCAGGATATACAATAAACTTCCTAATGAAATTAAAGAGACTTCTTTTATGATATTCAAAAAGAAATGTACAAAACTATTAAGTTATAAAGCCTATTATGACCTACAAGAATATTTTGATGATGCCCTGTAATTTAGAATGTATGGAAATTGCGATAGTACTGTATGTGAAAAACACATTTTTATTTGTTGTCTTAGTTCTTGTCATGTAACTTTTGCATATGTATGTATATATAGTTTATATTTCATTTTAATCATTTACATTTTATACATTTATACTTCACATCTTATACTTCATGTTTATATTAATATTTATTTATGACATTGTGTCTCTAACAAGAATTTTATTCTCAAACAATAAACATATTATCAATCAATTAATCAATAAGGTGATTAAGAAGACATAGATTCCAATTAAGGAATAGATACAATCCATTCGATCTTCCTGAAAAAAGATTTATTGAGTTGTATCGGTTTAATTAACATTTAACAAGACGATTGATAACTGTATTAACCCCCCCATTTGAGATCACCTCGCATAAGAGGAGGTATTACAATAGAAAGTAGGATATTTTGCGCTCTGCGTTTCTATGCCACAGGGACTTACCAGAGGGGTGTTGGTGAGGAAACTTATTGCAGTTTGAGTCAAACTGCAGTTGATCGAGCAGTACATGAAGTATCAACTCGAACAGATTTCAAACAGAATAGTTGAAGTGATGGGTACAGAATTTATAGTATTCCCTCAGAATAGTCGGGAAAGGAATGTATTGAAAATGTCTTTCATGGAGAAATGGCATTTTCCGGGAGTCATAGGGGCTATTGATTGTACCCATGTCGCCATCTTAAAACCACCTGGCGATGAACATAGTTTCATTAATAGAAAGGGTTACCATTCTCTGAACTGCCAAGTTATCTGTGTTTGCTGTAGAAGGAATGAGGGTTAAAGATAGAATTATCCAGCAGTATTACCAATACATTTTTTGTACACCTATATTAAATATTTTTAGATTGGGACATTTATATTGTCATAAAATTGATTTCTTTTGCGAGAAAACAAGTATATGATATTTTGATGTGATACAGTGCATATGTTGAATGTCGCAAAGTCTATGTAATTTTGTGGTTTAAGAGTTTTTCAACAAATCTGTTCAATAATTTGAAAGGGATTAAACTATCTATTTGTGAAATACAGAGAAGATTTAAACATAATGATATACTCCAGTACAAAATCAGGTACATTCGAACTTGAAATAAACATAGCTTTATAAAACAATAAAATAAAAACGATCTCTGATATTTCACAAAAAAAGCAGAAATACTGATTATTCAACAAAACCATTTATTTGTAATCACATAAATGGAAGGCTGCTGTCTATTCCAGTTCTGGAGAGGTACTTAATTCAAAAATCACCTGCCCACCTAGAAGCTGTTATTTTTGTTAAATTCATTCATTTAAATTATAACATTTGTTATCTGTGGCAAATAATTGTTCAAGGTTTTCAATTCATTTGCAACATCCTTCAAATTGAAAGAAATATGGCTCAAGGAAGATTTTATTGTATTTTTTATATCCCTTAACTCTTCAATGGTTTCCCTGTATTTATTGTGGAAGTCCATTTTCTGTCTCTTATGTGGTGGTTCCATATCATCTCTATGGGACTAGTCTTTGATATTGAAGGTGGTTTCGATGTTGATGATGTATTTTTTGATTTTGATGGTTCATCAAGACTATTTCCGCAGGACTCTGGTTCAAGGGATACAGTTACACCCACAGGTACACCACATTCTGGATTATTCAATCCCAAGAAGTTTGCCCCTAATAAATCCAATATTTTCAGTTTCAATTCACTCAGTGGTTTCACATCATCAAGTCCACCCCCAGTGCGAGATAATGAAGCTCTCATTGCAGCACCCTTTTCTTTAAATGAATATTTTCGACCTAAGACTACAAACGAAAGTTCTAATGAGTTATAAAAAATATTTGATATCTTGGTTTACCTTCTGCCATTTTTTTTGCTTGTTTTCGTTTTGCTCCATATCCTAGAGAATTCAGATTATGCGCCAATTCGTCCCAATGTTTTTTATACAGATCCTTTCCTTGAGGACCAACAAATTTTCCTATTTAACTTCTATTTTGTTTTACTATTTTGGATGAAATAAAAATACTATGAAGCAACCATCAACAACCTTGTTTTTATTTTTGTCATACAACTACTTGTGTCAAGCATACATTTTTGCCAACTGTTCAACACAAAACTAAACTAATAAGAAACAACATATGTTCGAACTACACTCAGTAGATGGCGACAATATAATGATTCAGAAATTATTATATCAGATTATTTTAACAGGGCCTCTCTTACTTTGAATAACATATTTAAGAAAATAATGAAATTCCCTCAATAACCAAAAATAAGAAATTGCTGATTTTACTATTCCTAACAATTGAGTACTTCACTCGTTCTTCGCATAAAACCATAGAACATAGAAATATTTATGCATAAAACACAAATTTCCATGTAAGTGGAAGAACTTCTTAAGACAAATTCCGACAATAACCGATCATTCCTCAGTGAGAGAGTTAGAATAGCAATGTACTATCGTTTCGATTTGTGTGTCGCCTCGTACCGATACGATACAAGCAATTGTTAGAATCCCACCCTGAACTCTAAAATTAATTGTAGCCACCCTCACGCCAAGTTGTGGTATAACGAGTGTTCGTATATAAATTGAACCAAATAGACCACTAGAGAAAGAAAAAGACGTTACAAGTGGGAGGTGCCCCCGCTAGTGTTGGCTCGCGTTCAGCCTATTCCAAAAAAAGTTCAAGAAAAATCTTCCTAATAACTATAGACCTATTAGTGCTATCAAAAATCATGGAGAAAGCTGTAAACCACCATATCCCATTTTGAAAAAACGCAATCGAAAAACATAGAGTGTCAAAAGCTGTTGCGCTTGATATTTCTAAGGCCTTTGACCGTGTGTGGCATGAGGGTTTACTGGCCAAACTTCGATGCTATGGCTTGTCGGACCATTTTTGTGTATGGCTCTTCGCTTCCTGAAAGAACGTTACCTGCAAGTGGCCGTCGATGGATATCTCCCGAACACTTTTCTCCAATTCTTTTTTATTGTATATCAATGACTTGTTGGACAAAAAGAATCCAATATATCGCTGTGCTGACGACAGTACACTTGTTTCGTATTTCCATTTGGATTCCAGAACATCGACTGCAGATGCACATCATCACCGGCAGCAGGAGGTTGCATATTTTAATAAGGATCTAGAAGTGATTTCGAATTGGGGTGGAAGTAACCAGGTTCAATTCAGTGCCACAAAAACCCAGGCATCGGTTTTCTCCAAGAAGATATATTAATATAAGGACAGACAATTCCGCTACGATATGTCTTGGCACAATCATGTCGCTGGAATTGCAAAGGCTGCTTCTCAAAAACTTGGAGTACTGTTCCAAACTAGAACACTGTACACACCTCAGCAACTTTTGATGCTTTATAAAGCTCAGATAAGACCTATGGAGTATTGTTCTTATGTATGGAGCTCCGCCCCAATTTGGTACTGAAGAGCCTTAGGGCAAGTGTCTTAAGGCGAAACATCGGTGTATACCAGTGAGGGTGACAGTGTTCTATGTGAGTACAATTTATTACCATTCATTCAAAGTAGAACTCATGTGAATGATATCTGATTCTTATTCCACAACAAATGTTTGAAATACAAACTGAGTAGAGAAAAGTATCTTCTGTATAATTCAGTGTTCATATAGAAGTATTTGTTTCGAAAGAATTATTTTCTTTCGTGTAATTCAATGTTTATATGCAAGTAGCTGTTTCAGGAGGACTTTCTTTCAGTTTGTATGTGAAAGTTACTTCTTTGCATGATCTACACATTCATGTATAGAGTTTCAAATTGATTACTTCCTTCCTTTCTTTGGAAGATTCTCTCATCCCTTTTTTTGTATCAGATGGAGTAGTAGAAAGCCAAAAACTTTCTATCCCAAAAAAAGTGAATTACTACTTTCGCGCTCTTAGAGCGCCTTAAGGATTTTCCTGTAGTGCTTGTGTTCAATCCTTGAAAAAAAGAATTTCACTTCAGCCTCCGTCTATGACGTCTCGCTGCCTGCCGAAGCTCACGCGAGTGGTCTTGTTGCGTTGCGAATTCGACTTTCTTATCTCATTTTAATCTATGCAAGCCAGTGTCTAAGTTGTCCAGAACCTCCGGGAAGAAATTCATGAAAAAACCAGTGACGAGTAATTTGGCGTTCACGCATAGCGTAATTGGGAGATCACCCTATGGCGTGTGTTATCTTAGCAAATTTCTCCATGAGCTAAGCACGATCGCATTATTCGCGCCGCTCATGGAAGATATCCAAGGAAATCATAAATCAACCCGTGTTTACGAGTCTGATTATGATAACTTCTAAGCGTCATACTGTCCCTCGTCAGCGGGCTTTTCGGAAGAAAGAATTCGAGGAATTTCTTGGATAGCCTCCTGATATGTTCAGGGACCGTCTCAACTTCAGTCAGATCTAACAGGTCAACCAATGAAATGTATCTGTTACTATTCCTGCAAATACGGAGCAACTTATTCTGTATAATCTCGAGTATCCGTAGAGGACTTCTCTTTAGGCCGCAGAATACGGTACAGGGGTACAACATAGTTGTTTGTAAATGAGCAACTTGTTGTCAACACTGAGGGTGGAGTTCCGTGCAATGAGCGGATACATGGGTTTCACCACCGCAGCCGTTCGTTGGATCTCCAGGCTCAAGTGTACTTGAAAATTCAGGAGTCTATCCAGGATAACTCCCAGATATCGCGCGCTTCTCTGCTCTTCAACGCTTTTGCCTTTGATTCGCAGCTTCCCGAATTTTTTCACGTTGAATGATACTTCAAAAACGATACTTAAGTAAAGCATAAGAGTCTGGTTAAATCTACCTAATAACTAAAAACTACAAAAAACAAAACTGTATGATAAGCATTCGCTTTCCTATAGTATAGACTTCATAAAAAACCTCGATTATTTTCCAATTTTAATTTTTTTCTGAATCTAATGTATACTCACAGTTACAAGTCAAACTGAGGAATAAAACATTTTTCTGTTTTCAATGTTTTTTAGCATTGCGAAAGGTAGAATTCAGTTAAGAGCCAGGCTCAAGTGTTCTTGAAAATTCAGGCGTCTATCCAGGATTACTCCCAGTTATCGCAAGTTTCTCTACTCATCAACGCTTTTGCCTTTGGTTTGCAGCTTCCCGAATTTCTTCACGTTGGTAAATTCGTTTGTGAAGTTGACGAGCTCAGTTTTCGATGTGTTTATCTCAATTTTATTTGTCAAAGTACGGCACGAAAATCCCGTCAATCTGGATCTGCAGTTGCTGCTTAGACACCTCGCTCGAGAACGAATGCCCATAAATTGCTGTATCGTTTGCATAGATACCCACATTCGTTTTCGGGAACATGGAAAAATATTTCGTGTACAATGAGTACATGTGCAGTGATAGGCAGGACCCCTGCTTCAATTGGGTAATATGCAGATGTGGTTTAGTCCACTTTTACACGAAGAGTTCGGTTGTTCAGGTAAGATTCAAGAATCCTAATCACGAATAAAGGCATGCCTGCCGACCACAATTAGGCGACAAACCCCTCCGTCCATACCTTGTCAAAAGCTTTCTGAATGTTCTACTTTGTTTTTTCCCAGACACTTGATGGTCTCTACAATCTCATCGTAGCTATTAAACCACTCTAATAGGGTCTCCTCCGTCATGGCCGGAAAGGGTCTGTTCCTGATCGTATCGGCGTTCCAGGTGGCATTCTAATGCTCGATACAATCGTCGAGTTCCAGACGGTGGACCCCGGCAAATTACTTTCCGAACATCTGAGCCTATTGGTGATCCGTCACCGCGTGTTTCTGATCCTTCTATATGGTAAGATGTGGCCTCGAAGCAGTAATCCAGCCTCTGAGCAATCCTCCACACAGAGTGATCTTGCACGCTTATCCTGCCACCTTTTATTGGTGAACTCAAATATGCATTCATAGTCGATCTGACCTTCCTCCAGTCGGTGCTCCTGTTGTTATACTTCAATCTCCTTGTTTTCGGGTTATCTCTAGTAAGATTGAAGAGCACCGGACAGTGGTCGGAGCTCAGCTCGCCCACTGTGACCAGTTCGTTTCTGTTGAGGACAAGGTCAATCGTGGTGGGCGACGAACCATTCCAAAGATAGTAGATCGGCTCATCGGGAAACTCCTTGTTATTGTTCAGAGAGTACTCCCGTTGACGTTAGGTTGATTGTGACAGTTCCATTCGCGCCTCCTGGCGTCGAGGTCTACCACAACCAGTACCTTATTGCCAACGCTCAACGAATTATCAAAATCGTGCGGAGCGAAGTGGGTCTTCCTCTATTCGAAGTTCGCTCACCTTCCACCAGTGGAGGGGTGGGAAGCGGATGCGAACCAACAACAGGTTGACGTGTATTTTTGTATGTAGCGGTAGCCCTGTTTTCCCAGGCGTTAACCTTTGGTGCAGAGTATGAATAAAATGAGAAAAACAATGAAACAAAGAGCACATTTTTTCACTAAAATTTATTATATAAAGAGTATAAGATTATAAGATATTCAAAAAATAGGAACCAGTAATACTGGATTAATTAAAACTACTTGGCTTTTTGAAAAAGTATCATATTAAAATCAAATCACATATCATGCTTGAAAAAGAATCACAAATCAAATCACCGAAAAACGCATACTTATATTGCGATGACCATTTCGATGTAGAATAAATTCTTCGAATTTACCTTGAGTACTGAATAACACATATGTTATTCAAAAAACTCATATAATTTAACAATAATATTATTTAAAGATAATAGAAAAATTGTAAATCTCACTTAGACTTTTTGAATAAATTTTGACATTAAATGCCTAAAACAGTATATAAGAAATATAAATTACTGGACTATCTGAAATGAAAATTAACAAGAGACTTTACAGTAATCTACCAATCTAATGATTGAACTCTAGAAGAAAACTTTTTGTTTCTTGGACTAATTATCAGTCTTATAGAATATGAATCAGTCTCAACATTATTGCATCAAGGTAACTCTTAGTTAATAAATGAAAATTCATCAATATGAAATGAATATAAGAGTGTGTTTTCTCTTAAAATGTCTTTCACACTGTCCTATAAAACTTGCTATTTCATTAATTTAATATTTACGACCATTGTGTACAATTTGATGTAATTTAAACAGCGTTCAATTAAAGGTACCACTTTCTTGTAGCTAAATTTGTGTTGAAAATTTTGTATATACGAAGGATGATACTTCAAAAACGATACTTAAATAAAGCATAAGAGTCTGGTTAAATCTACCTAATGACTAAAAACTACAAAAAACAAAACTGTATGATAAGCATTCGCTTTCCTAAAGTAGACTTCATAAAAAACCCTCTCGAATATTTTCTACTTTTAAAATTTTTTCTGAAGCTTATGTATATCCACAGTTACAAAACAAACTGAGGATTAGAATTTTTTTTGTTTTCAATGTTTTTTAGCATTACGAATGGTAGAATTTAGTTCAGAAAACTTGTATTCGATTGTTGGCAAAGTCTACCACAACGATGTGTCCGTTTGGATTTAGGCAAATGCCAGACGGTACGTTGAGTTCCCCGTTTCCTTGGCCTTCTCTTCCAAATTTCCATAATAAAGTGCCATCATTTCGTAACACTTTGATTCTATGATTCTTAGAATCGGCGATTATTATGGTACCCTCGTCATCGCAAATAATACCTTGCGGCCGGCGAAATTCGTTATCACCAGACCCTTCTCTACCAAAGAATGTGGCTTGTGTCAAATTTGGGTCTATTACTGCCACTCGATGGTTATTGAAGTCTGTGACTAAAATATCGCCGTTTGGTGAGAAGCACACTCCCCTGGGACTATCGAACTGTTGGCTCATATGATGGCCAAATCCCTCATAGCCGAATTTACCCAAAAAGGTTCCATTGGAAGAAAACAGTTGAATTCTGTGATTTCTGGTGTCTGAGACGATGATGTGACCGATTGCGTTGCAGGCTACGTCCCAAGGGTAGTTGAATTCGCCATTTCCGATCCCATTATTTCCAAATGTTAGTAGGAAACTTCCATCTGGCTTGAAAACTTGTATGCGGTGATTATCTTTATCTGCCACCACTATGTGGCCTTCGGGGTTAATGGTTATCCCAGCTGGTCTGTTGAATTCACCGGGTCCCGTACCTGCTATTCCGAAACTAAATTTGAAGGATCCTCTTGGATCGAATACTTGTATTCGATTGTTGCTGCGATCAGCTACTACTATATTGCCATCACGATCGCAGCAGACTCCCCAAGGGCGGCACAGCTGACCATTAGCTTCACCTAAAACAAACATGAAATGAGTATCAAATGAGTATCAATATAAATACAATGTAAATCATGACTTTTCATATCCTTACTGAATCTATACACACTGTTGTCTGTTCAGAAATGAGGGAGACTACAGCAGTATATACAGGGTGATTCAAAAGTACTTTGACAAACTTCAGGAGGTGATTCCTCACAATATTCTAATATGAATAGTCCAAATAAATAAATGTCCGGAAACGCTTCGTTTCCAAGATACAGGATGTTGAAGTTTTATTTTTATTTTCGTTTTTTTCAAATAACTTTTGAAATACTGAACTTAATTAAACGAAACTTGGTAATAGGAGGTTTTTGAGGTGTCGAATTCGAACCTGATGTTCTTATTGCTCTTACTCATAGGGGGCGCCAGCTACACGTCTTTTTCTTTTTTAAAGATTCATAACTTTTTTGGGCGTACTTCTAGCACATTTTTCAGTAAAAAAATCGATTCCTCTATCACATCTACGTAAATAAGCTACCCTTGTTACTAGTCGCTGTAAGCAACCGTTTTCTAAATATTCGGACTTGAAAACTTCAAGTCGATTATTTGATAATCGATGCATTTTGAAGTTATTACGAATATTTTGCATTTTTCACAAGAATGCTTTGGACATGAATTTAACGTTTTACTAGTTTGAAGAGGTCATTACTGTTGGGTACGTTCCTTTATGACATCCTTAAGCGAAATAGTTATTTTTGTATCAAGGGTGCATAATCAGTATTTGTTTTAATAAAATTTGCAAGAAATGTCAACATTTTATTTCAGGAAATTTTGAATATGTAGAATAAACTAAAATAAAGAAAACTAAATTGTTTTTAAATAAATTGTTGGAAGTGTCCACCTTCAGCGAAGATACAGACAGTCAGTCGTCTAGTCTTTGAATTTCGTACTCGCTCAAAAATTATTGGTGCGTTTCTTATTGTTTTACAGGCGTGTACTATTCGGTTTCTTAGATCTTCCTCGTTCACTACTGGAGTCTTATAAACTAGTGACTTCAAATGTCCCCAAAAATAAAAATCTATCGGGTTTAGATCTGGGGACCTTGGTGCACACGCCTGGTTAGGTTCTTCTACACCCCTACCGATCCATCGATTTGGATAGACTGTGTTAAGGAATTCCCTGG